TTTGAAGTATTTTAGTAATGGGGCTTCACTATCGAAATTGTTTAAAAAATCAGAAATCCTTTTTCCAGAAAGGGAAAAATGTTAAATATAAACCAAGCGGAGTGCTGGGAATGGCAGCGTTTTTGTGTGTGTTTTTTTTTTTTTTTTGGGGGGGGGGGGGAGTATTATTATAGCGATATCCCTCTCGAACCCGAAATCCTGACTACAGCTCTGTCCTAATGTCATGATTATTAACACGCATACAGCACACTGTCTCCATTTCTACTAAAAACGATCACCTAATTCATTCTCACTCTGCTTCAACTTGTTGCTGCCTCTCGTTAAATGAGAAGATTACCAGAGTGTTAATGTAGAAAGCTAGCTGCATACACAGTGACAAAAAAGAACTACATAACTCCCAGAAGGCCATTTACAACATCTACCAACAATTCAGTTCGACTCCCACATGATCGTCGTTATATTCGTAGTTCGAAATTGTATAGAATACAACTAAATCCTCTACCCTCACGGTAGAGTTTTTTTTTTCTTTCTGTATATTTGAAAGCAAAAACCTAGAGTTCTTGTTTAAAACGTAAAATTAGTCTAGGAAATCAAAATGAATTATATGTTTTGAGTGTACACAAAAGCTTATCGAGAAGCGTACTAACTATAACAAACTGATTTTCATGTGCATTATATAAATAGGCTTAACCACCCGATATCCGACAGAAACTGAATGCTAACATGTATATATTAAATTAACTTATAAGTATAGTAAACACACCTGAACGTGCTCTCACAAAAAAAGCTATATGAACTTACTTGAAGCCTAATAAAATTTTCTCATTCGTGGTTCATGCATAGTTACTTCAAAGTTGCGTACTCGTTCACATGTGAATTTTTGTTGTTGTTCTCCTTCTACATGTGTAATAATAACAGGTACCGTACTCGAAGTTTGATTGGTTGAATTACAAGTTGATTGCTAGAAGTAACCAAACGTAACTTTCTTTTTCTACCGAAATTGGCACAAAGTAATTCCCCGTGAAAGAATTGAGTACATATAAATAATATATCCATGTAAATATATTACTGTATATTATTATCAACTCACCTGCGTCTCAACGAGCTTGATACCCCACGCAACGCGATCTTCGTAATCCACGAACTGTAACCAGCGTTCTTATTCCTCGTACTCTGACTTGAAGGACAGCCGGAGCACAACAACACTTGTATCCGGCGTGTCAGTCGAACTAAACATTTTCTGGACCACTCTACCTTTCCTTAATTACAATAAGAGATCCCAGCCCTGTATGATTGAACCCCACCAATGTCACGTAATGTAGTGGCGTTTATTAACCTGCCATCATAGTTTCGTTTTACAAAACTGTCATGTTACTACTGCCTACAATCGAAACTAAAAACATGTGCTAAACATACAATTATGCTACAAAATATGTTCCTTAATTACGGCAAGTTAAGTTATAGTCAGGTAGCAAGAGACTAAGAGAGCAACGTCAACCAATAAGTTGTGAGGCTCGGCCTAGAGCACTCGATACCTATGTAATAATTAATATTAAGTACACGCAAACTGTTTTTTAGAGGCCGCAGGCTTGTGCTAGGAATTAGAACAGAATGATTAGGTGCAAAAAGCGTAGTACAACAGAGCAAACGTGGTACTATAACTACAGTTATATACATTTTAGTTGGGTTTCTTTTTAGCCTGACGTTTCTAGTTTATTATATAATTTACAGATTTTCAAAGGTGTAATTAAAAGGCGGAGAATGATCCAAGATCATTTCCAATCACTGTTAAGTCTCTACATTTTAATCCTATACGATTAAGTTTATTCCGAAACACAATCACTCACAGAACACCTTTATTCTACTGGGCATGATAAGCATCTTTTACCCAAAGTGCTTGGGTTATAAGAACTTGGGCAGACTAACAAACAGTGCGGATTGCAGAAATGTCTGACCATTTTGTTACAGGAAATTAGGAAACACATCTATAAGAAAACGATTATTGTGTCTGAAATCATACTCGGGAGAATATGCAAAAATAACAAAACTTAAAAGCAACATTTTCGCAGTTACAAATTTGAAATCTATTGAAAATAATAATTAATTTCAAATTTTATGGACTTAAGCAAAAAAAGATTGCATAAGTTATCACGATTTTTTTTAAATCAGAAGTTCCTATGACTCAGCAGTATTCTTGACGGCTTTTAATGTTAAAATTTGGAGCTTAATGGCTGCAGTGGGCACAATATAGAGAACCATGATGCAACTTTGCGCGTAACAAGCGTAACAACAAACAAAGGGGGAAAAAAAAGCTTAAGGGGCGAGACTAATGGATTGACACCAATAACATAATCCGACGTAGGATGTTAAATAATCATCGCCTTAATAAAGTTTATCAAGAAATTTAAACTAATCTGAAGCACAAGCCGTATTCTGTGAGTCATGATCTGATTAACTTTGTCAGAAATCAAGTGTTGGCTGTATATGAAGGCTAATTAACGATACGACAAAAAAGCGGATACAAGAAGGTTCTATTTTGTAACTGAAGGAAAAAAAACAGGGTTACGTAATTTGGCGAGTCATTGAAATCCGTTAATTATACCCGTACATTAAATTGTTGGTGTAAAATACAAATCTCCTGTTTCTAAAGCCACTTTAGTTTTTGACAAAGATCTGTTAAGCCTGTTTCACATGGGGAAAATTTTAAAAACACGTCTGCTGTTTAAAATGAACATGTATAGTATTTTTAGGAAAATTGATTTCTTGATATTGTAAATTAGGTATGTACATTATATAACGGAAGATAGATGATGAAGTAATAGCAAATTCTATTAAAATTGGGCCTGAAAAGGCCTGATGGTTAGGGTGCTTGACTTACAATCTGAGGGTCGTGGGTTCGAATTCTCATAACCAAACATACTTGCCCTGTCCGCCGTGGAGCTGTTATAATGTCGCGGTCAATCCCACTATTCGATGGTAAAAGAATAGGCCAAGAGTTGGCGGGGAGTGGTTTTGATGAGCCTTCTTCCCTCTAGTCTATCACTGTTAAATTAGGGACGGTTAGCGCAAATAGCCCTCATGTAGCTTTGCAAGAAATTCAAAACAAAACCAATTATAAAAACTAACAGAGCCTGTGGTACAACATAAATAGGCTGGACACAAAGTGTGATATACAATGAAAACAATCGTTAATAATATTGTAAACAGAATATGATAGCTTCATTTGATACTGGACAGTCGCTTTTCCTAGAATTGTGAATTAATCAAGCAGGCTGTTCTTTCTACAAATATGTCTGATATAACACCTGACGACGGCCGGAGAATCCACTGGTTGAAAGGTTGTGATAATAATAATAAACATAATAAAGACGAGAGTAATTATACCATTAATAATATACTAACTCCTCGTCTCAATCATTCCGCAAAACTATAGAGTTTTTAAACTCCTAGTCACTCACTGTATCTATTAACACCAATTGTCCTAACTGTGATTAATCTGGTAGACATTTTGTATCGTGAAACTCTAATCGATAACTTGGAAAGTAATGGTTGTTAAGCCATTATTTAACTTCTGAAATTAATTAATCCCGGATCTGGTTTTTTTCAAGACAGTTTGAAGGTGCCAGAGAATTCTGTACCTCTCTTGAACACTCAGCTTTTTCATTTTTCTTTAGTCTCTTTGAATAATTAGATTTTAGATGCAGATCTGAGTGTTATATTTCTGTATTAATATCCATAACTTTTCGTGGATATACAGATTTTTTCTATCCCAATTAAATGAAAATCTGCCCTTATATATAACATTTCAAACCTGAGTCTAAGACGAAAGGCGGAAGACTTTCGAAACGTCGTCCTCTACATTTGTAGGTTTCTACAACAAGCAGTTGCTGTCCATTTGAAACTTAGATTCATTATGAATACTCTGCCTGAACAACCTATCAAAGATCTCAAACTTGTTTTTTTTATGTACTTGTTTTTGGGTACAGCTGCCTCACTGTATATTAGCATCACAAATAAACATATTATATTGTGACAGACAGGTATCACATCAAACATAGGTTGTCTTTATTAGTGTGCAGTCATCACCTTTAAAAGATGAAGAAACTAAGTCAATTGTTAGTAAATGAATGGATATTTTTCAGGCTGTAATATATTCAAATAACTTCACTTTAAATTGCACGTGGTGTGTTTAACTTCAACTAATAGATATTAATCAAACCTTGAGGCTTTTTATTCATTTATTCTAACTATTTCTCAGTTTGTGGTCCTTCACACTACGATCCTATAAACCTCGTCTTCCTTTGTTTATGTATTATTGACTTATTTTTTTGAACTGAAATCAAAATGAAAACCTTCTTATTACACAATAAGAAGCTAAATATTTGATTTCACATTGTTGGAAATGTTGTTGTTGTTTCATCAGTAAGATCTCTCAACGAAATAAAAATACATACATAAAATAAAGTTGAATATAAAAAATTATCGTTTTCATGATTGTTGTACCCTGTTTCATTATAGCTGTCTTCAAAAATCTGATCACAACAATCAAATATGTTTTTGATGATTATTTATCCAGTTTATACATTTAGTGACAACCGTTTTGTTTCTAGCAAGAGGCATTGCTTTGCATCTAATACCTGTAGTACTGCACACAAGACTGTTGTGTTCAATAGTCTATAAGAATAATACATAAACAAAAACTATTGTACACAACAGTCTTGTGTGCAGTACTACAGCTATTAGATGCAAAGCAATGCCTCTTGCTAGAAACAAAACGGTTGTCACTAAATGTATGGCTAAAAACTGGAAACCCTTTAGTGATCTCAGACCATTTGGTGAAGTTGCACTTAGTTGTTAAGGGTTCACGTTAGTATTCTGTTCTTTTATTTACTATTTTTACAATTGAAGATGTAGTGGTAGCTTACTTATCTTCTGATTAACAGAGGTTTTTTCTTCCTGGTGGCCCCCCAGTGGCACAACTGAAAGTCTGCGGACTTGCAACGCT